TACAATGAAAATTATTATTTCAAGAGGAAGTGTGTAAGACTGCTGTCAATGCATCTAACGTTGACACTTCAACAATGATGCCCTGAAATAATACTGCTGCACACAATTATCTTGTCTGATCTTGTTTTTACCACATTTTGGGTAAACTATTGAAGGCATCATTGTCAACAATCTCTGGATTCATCATGCAGAAAAACAGATTGTGGCAACCTGCTTTTGTTGAATCATTTTACAGTTAAACCACTAGATGGCAGCAATGCTCCAGATAATTTACATCAATCTTTTGTATAATCTTATCAGCTTGATTTTCTAATTTTTTCATCTTATGTCAAAGGAATGCTTGGCTGCAGTGACATCATCTGGAAATGTGAAAACAAATCTTAATTGGAGCTTTTTGGTTGTTTTGGTGGTTTGGACTTGGTTTGAAAATCAGCAGTCTTCTTAAACTACAGACATATTTTCTTGCAACATTTGTTTATTTATCAAGTTTAAAGATGCCTAATCTAATCTAATCTAATCTAATCTAATCTAATCTAATCTAATCTAATCAGGCACGGCAAAACATTGTTTTATTTCTTTGACTGATTGAGCTTCCAGAAAGTAAATCTTGTGGTCTGGATGGAATATACACGGAACATCTGAAATATGCTAACTTTAGGTAATTACCTCTACTGGCCATCTGTTTTACGTTTGATACATGGCATTCTGCCTGATGCACATGTCTATTATTCTAGTCCCTGTCATAATAGACAAAGCAGGTAGAGCAGGTAGCATGGACAACTATAGGCCCATTGCATCATTGTATCCAAGGTTATGGAAATAGTGCTACTAAGTAGGCTAAAGGATTTTATCTACTCTACAGATAATCAGTTATATATATAATTATAAAAATAGGATGAATTCTGTAATTTTTGTGTTTGTGAGGATTAAATAAACTAACAACTAAATGTATTAATCAACCAGCAAACACAATGGCATCAGTATGAGCAGTAAGAATGCCACAGGCTTTTGGGCAGAGCTCATGTCGTTTGCAATTGAATGAATAAGTAACTAAGAAAAGATGTGATCTCTTGGAACACAGACTCGACTAGATTAGACCCGTCTTCGGTTACGTCTGACTTCCTGGGAGTGGAGGGTTCCACTCAAGAGCTCCAGTTTTATGAGGAGATTGGTTTCTTTAATGTAACAGCATCCTGTTGGTGGTAACCCCACCTGAGGGTGTAATCGTTATCCTCTCGTCTGTGTCTGTAAATATATTTATACGTTGTGTGTCGAAAACTGAGCATCAGAAGACTCTGATCTCAGTGTGTCGTTGATCCTACCTGTGAATGAATGAAGCACTTCCTACATAGTCGGGCCTGGTCAGAAATAAAAGTGGGTACCATTGATGGGGGGAGGGTGTGTGTGGACTGTAACGATCAGGTGACATCACGCATCATTACTGCAGACCTCCACTGGACTATTGAAAGACAAGGCAGTGCAGCTGTGGACAGACTGAGACAAAAGGTCAATAGATGATACTGGATGCTGCTCCTGCGTGGGCAGAAAGAGTAAAACAATGGCCGCCGGTTAGCCTCTGTCAAAGTCAAACACCCGGCTTTATCAGAGGAGTGTCTGTAACAGCTGAGTCAATTTGCAAGAGATTTGACTGCATATGAAAATTAGGAACAGATTGGTAGCAGCAGAGCTTTTATTTCCTGCTCTGGAATCATCAGACTAAAAAAGTGCTGAGAAGAAAATATGTTAAAAACAATAAAGGATTTAAATGTTAAAACACTTTAATATCCTATTTTAACAAATTAACTGAAATGTGATCCATTCATTTTGTTGGTATCTGAACTAGGTAGGATTTTAATTTCCTTCACTAGATCAGTGCCTCCTTAGATCATGTGAGGCACTGAACATGGTAATTAGTTGATATTTTCGAAGAAAAAAAAAGTGATTTTCCATAAAATACATTTAGATAATTATTATCCTATTATAGCTTTGTTTTTATTTAGCTCAAAAGGGAGTAAAAAAAAAAAAGAAAAAGAAAAACTGCCAAATGAGTTCTGAGTGAGCTTTTGGTACTTATGGGGTTTATTTTTAAGTTTTACATGAAAGCTCTGATATGCACCAAACCCTTAAAGGTCGGCCATAAAGGAAGCCATAGTTAAACAGTTGCAAATCACTTCCTGTTTTCTTTTATGTAAAACCACAAGTTGTGTTAAAACTCAGCAGTCAGCAGCTCCAGTTAAAAACTACGGGGCTAAAGGGTTACACGTGTGTGTGTGTGTGTGTGTGTGTGTGTGTGTGTGTGTGTGTGTGTGTGCACTTGCTTACTTGCGAGCTTCAGGAAGTCATTTGTATTTTACGTCTATGATGTCAGACTTTATGTGTTGAATTAACATTTTTTTTCGTTGTACCTTTGTGAAAGTCCTTTAACATTTTATTTATTTATTTATTTTCCTCACTTCTGCTGCTTTTTACACTCATCTTCCTTCCTATCATTTTCAGCACAAATTGTCAGGAGAAGATTTTTCTTAGTTGTGAAATTCAGACCTGAATCCTTCAGGCTTAAAAGACTCAGGCTCTTTAACTGAATTTGCAGTGCAGGGTTTGGTAAATTGAGTGCTTTAAGAGCTCAATATATATATTACCTCTACTTATGACCAATAAGCTGTGATTGTCACACCCTGTCCTGTCTCCCATTCTGTTCAGTTCTGTGTCCAAGTTAATTGCTCCCACCTGCCTCTCGTTTCCCAATCACCCAAGCTCCCAGCCCTCTTGTATTTAAACCCCTTCAGTTCTGTGTCTCTTGTTGGATCATTGTTTCTATGTTAGCGTGTTCTCTATTAAAACCTTTAATCGTTCCTGTGTGCCTGCTTACCTGCTTCCCTCACCCGCATATGGATCCTTGCATCCGCTTCATTCACCGTCACGCGCTGACAGTGATACTCTATCTAAATATAGAATATCAACCCTGCTTGGTCTTTATTGTGTTTATCAGAAGATTCTAGGAGTCTTTATTTATTAGGGGATTCTACACATTTTGTTTTGATTCAGAAAACAGTCAAGTTTATAAAAGTGAGAATTTATTTTACCAACAATTAAAACATGACAAGTAACTAAGCATTAACTGTGATGGGTAGAACTAGATGTGATGTGTGAAACCTATGTGTGAATGCGATGAACTTCCGTATCTAGGAGAGCTGAGTTCTGGATGTAAAAGAATTTGGTTTGCGTTAAGCTATGAGTTGATTATTATCAAAAACCACATCCAGACGCAATCTCACTGTTTTCTACGTACCCAAGTGGAGACGCCTTTTTCGGATCCAAGATGTCGGGGGAGGGGGTGTCGGAGACCCCAGGTACCGGAGTCCATAGATTAACTGCAGTACGACCAGGTCAGTCCAGAGTCACCTCCAGGTAACGACAGTTGGAACTAGTTTGCGTCTCAGGAATAACTCTTAAGGAGTTCAATAAGTCAGCTTGTTCTGCAGGAACTGTTTTTTTGTATCAGCTTCGCAGGTGCAAAAAAGTTTTGAAGATGTGTCAAAAGCTTTGGTGGTTAAAGAGGTGTTGCTTCAGGTGGCCAGTCTGAAGCTTCTCTAGAACAGAGGGAAAACCTGAGTAACCTGAGTAATCTGGTTTTAATGTTCTCTTGTTATGATTGTGTAGCCAACCAGAGGTTGATACGCTTGAGGATTATTACCGAGAATCTCAGGAACATGCCTTCTTTGATACCGGAGGCTCTGATCTGTGGTAAAGGCTATTCATGTGTCATCGGCTTAACTTTACCTTACTTGTCCTTGTGTGAGTGCAAATGATTATGACCTTGTCAAGTAAACATGCAATCAATCATTGAGAACAGATTAATGAAACATTTCACTATTTATAATCATAAGTAGCAATAAACAAACATTTATTTACTGATTATCTAGCTTATAAGTTTTAGAAGTTCATATATAATTTTAAAATCTTCTTTCATCTGTGAAACAAGGAGTCTTAGATATAAGGGTGCTGTGAGGGACCTTGAGGAGATAATGTTATTGTTGACATTTCATTATCTCCGTCAGAGCTGCAGGCTCTGAGCTCCAGCTGGTGGGAAGAAGGCAGGCTGATTTAAATGGAACACATGCAGTCTCGTGTCTCCTTTTTGACCAGATGTTGGATGGTCAAACAGTACCTAAAACTGACCATTTGTGGACATTACAGCAGAAAACACTGTTTAACATATGTAAGACACAATTTTAGCACAAACAACACAGAAAAAAAGGGTCAGCCAAAAAGCTGACTTTATGCAATTTAATTACATGTAAAATTTCCATGTAATTTCATTGCAAAAAACCAATAAAGATTTACTTTTAAGGTAAACTGTTCTTATGTTTGTTTCTTTTACTTGTGCTTGACAATTTAAATAAATAACATTTGCGATAAAAAAAAAGTTGTATCTAAAAATATTTTCAGTGATTGCTAGGGCCAAGACTTTTTTTTGGGGCCATGCAGTTTTCTTCTTCAGTTCAAATGAAGGTCAAATAACTCCCATAAAATTAGCTGCCCCCTAGACAGTTCTTTAAAAGTCCTGAAATTGGGATTCGTTTAAGTAGGATTTACTAAAAATTCTTATTTTAAGTTTACGCTTAGATTATTTGAGTTTACTTTAACCACTATGATAAATAACACTTGTGATTTAAACATTTTCAGTTAAATCTTACTTAAAAGTCTTAGCTGGTGTTCACCAGGGCCAACAATCTTTTTTTTTTTGAGTGAAGGTGAGCAAAAAGTTATTGACTGAAAGAGTCGACATTTATCCATGATCTATTTTTCTGAAAGGGTATTGTTGTGTTGTATTTTATAATAAGTATTGTTGTTTGACAGTATGACTATTTAATAAAGTTTCCAAGAAAGTCAGGTGGTCCATTTTACACCAAACTTTCAGCAATGAATAATAAAATTGCACCTTGCCAAACAATAACTCATATTCAAGCATTCGATTTAAATAAAAGTAGAAACCAGAGTTTTGTTAGTCAACTTTATTTTATTTTATTTTATTCATTCTCTTGCATTACACTGCAAGTTATTTAAACATTTCTTGTCTTCATTAAATTGTTTGGTCATTTTAATCTTCAAAAAGTGCACAAACAAATGTAAAAGGTGGTTTTAAAACAGTCGGTCGGCCATCAAACAAGTTGGTGTGCAAAATCATTTACTCATGCAGTAAAGGATGTTTAAGATTATAAGTATAGCTGCCAAGTGCAAAATGGACTATAAGAAAACAGCACAGGAACTAGAGTGCTCTGAGGATTTTTTATATTGTTTGTGCCAAACACCATTCAAAGAAAGTGCAAACACAACACAATATTTGAAGGATCACTTGGAAAGAATGATAAAATACAGGGATGCACCGATACTGGTATCAGTATTGGGCCGATACCGATACCACTATCGGTATTGATAAAAGTTAACTGATACCAGGAACCGATACCAGTGCAGCTGCCTGAAAGTGGCTTCACTGTAACTTGTCATTTCTGTTGACCTAATATTATAGTTTTGTGATCATTTCTATTTACATATTTTATTTTTTATCTACCTCACAATATTTTCCTGTTGAAAGCAGAGGAGAAAATAAAACCTGTATTCCAATCCATTGCATTATTTTGTGTCGGTAATCGGTATCGACGAGTACTCAGACCCAAGTATCGGTATTGTATCGGTTTGGAAAAAATGGTATCAATGCATCCCTAATAAAATCTATTTTCCTTAGTAAAAACAAAAGATGCTTTTTGAGTACATTTTTTTGTGTTGCTTAGTTAAGGGAATTTCTTAATTCTATATGTGACGAATCTGCAGTTTTGGCACTTGCAGATAAGGAGAGGAGTCATGTTTGTTCGAGTCTCTGTTTGCACAGGAAGGCACTCCAGCAAAGTAAGGTTTGGTTCATGAAATATTCACAGTAGAACTACACTTGGTTCCAGTCATCAATTCTATTAAAAGTTCTCCTTTGCTACATTTACGACTGGTTTATGTGATCTCTAATAGTCCCCATGTGGTGTAATATTGGGCAAATTAAGGGAAAATTGTGATTATTTTTTCTTTTAGAGGCGTAACAAGAACACAAAATATTAAAACATGTTCATGTGGCAGTTTCTCTGTAAGTGGGCTAAAGTGAGTTATTTATAATAAATGTTTTAGCATGCAGAAAGGAGCTCTTGAAGCACGCTGATGGAAACCTTAAGTCACATGACCTGGACTAAATTCAAGGCTTAGGACTTGACTCAGGAGTTCCATGTATTGGGGCCTGACCTTGTGGGTTGCAAAACAATATGACTTGGTCCCACCTCTGATATAACAAATAAATAATATATAAAAGTAGGAAGATGTATAAAATAACATTACATCTCCACTTGATCTAGTTTACTTTGGGTAAAAATGGCAGTAAGTTAATCGAATAACAATATAACAATTGTAGGTCTTATGGACCCTGACCTAAAATACAAAATCTACAAGTGTGCAGCTCTTCTACCATAAATTGGATAATTAATTTAAACACTCTGATGATGAAATTTCTGCTACCATTACATGTGAAGCAATTCAAGCCCATGAAAATTAAAGAGTTTTGTTCTTTGGGTCCAGTTGTCCATTAACTTCTCCAATTTCTCCACCATTGCACTTTGCCCCTCTGGTGCATTTGATTGTGAGCAGGATGTTGGACAGCACATCCTGGTACAGACTGAGGAAGACCCATCCAGGCAGGTAGAGGATGGTGATGAGTCCCATGAAGTTGTGGGGGTAGTGGGAGTAATCCCAGGAGCAGGCATCAAACTGCCTCAGGGCCAGACCCCAGGTGAACTCCCAGGTGTAGACGAAGCAGATGTAGATGGGGAGTCTCTGCCATGTCCCCCAGCCTCGATCAAAGTGCAGACGAAAGTAGAGCTTCTCCACCACGAAGCTGCAGCTCCCGTACATCAGGAAGGACCACAGGGACGTGTGGCCACCCAGGGTCTGATCTGCCTTCTCTACCAGGTTGAAGAGGGACGTGAAAAGCACCTCGTCCAGAAAGCCATGCATCCCAAAAAAGACAAACCGAATGAAGCCGGGGAGACCGTGGGAGAGTCTCTGGTGGCGGAGCTTCCTCCAGAGGTCGGTGGCAGAGGCAGGACAATACTGCAGATGAGACAACCCTCTGTGAAACACCTGAGAGAAATAAAGCGCCAGGATGTAGTGCATCACCAGCTGCGTTCCAGAAACCACCCGCACCTGCTCGGCCAAGGTGTTAATGTTCCCGATCAGGATCTGAAGCCCGATGTACACGGACGGGTAGAATATGAAATGAAAGACCACAGGCCGACCTCGGAAGCAGCTCTTTTGGGAGTAAATCTTCTCCAGCGCAAAGTGGGTCAGCGCGTGCATGACACAGAGATACGGAGAGGAGAAGCCCACGAGCTTCGGGTCTCTGTTGTTTATGAGCCCCTGTACAGAGGACAGCAGCACATCCAGGGTCACGCCGTGCATCCCGTAGAGGTAAAGCCGCATCCATCGCGGCAGGTCCCGCAGCGACTCCTGCGCGTGCTCGGTGTCTCCGGACGGTTCTTGTTGCCGGGGCATTGCAGCTGTTTTTAGGCAGCCGGCGGGTTCTCTGGAACTGAAGCGGGGACCGTGTCCCCTCCGACCGGCCATGATCAGCCGCTCTGTGTGGAGACACTAGGATGTCCTCTTTGTTGACATTGTTTTCCGCTGCTGTCTCGTAGTGAAAGCTGCGGCAGCGAGCATCTCCCCATAGCGCGCGCTGCCTTCACGTGCACCATGGAAAAAAACAACTCCACGCGACGACATGGAGACCGAGAAAATGTACATGTAACAGATAAACAATCTTTTTTTAAAGCACCCCCTGTCGCTCTGAGCTCCAGTTAAATAGCTGTTTATTCTCCTGATATAAAAACAAATTATTTTAAATTTGTTGGCTTAATCTTTGAGTCTTTCAGCTGAGACTTGTGAGAAAGTGTAATGACATAAAAGCACGATAAAATAAAAGCAAATAAACAAATAACACCCTAAACTGGGTTATTTATTATATGTGGGCTATACTGGAAAGATTCAACCGTATTTAGTTCGTATAATCAAATGCGGCTAAAATTTGTACCATGATGTCCGTGAAGTAAACATAACGGACTGGACAATTTTCCAATAACTGAGATTTGCGCTTCCCATCACCGGAACGCGCACCGTCAGACAACTAGATAGCCCCTGATAATCAGGAATTTTACTGGATCAGATGAATGTTTCTCTGATTCAGTGTGTTTGGTAGTAATGGTCCAACATCACAGATCTGTCTCCAAAAGAATTTAAACTAAGAAGAAGTACACAGTCTGAAAGCTGACTAAATTAATTAAATGCATGCACTCTAACTTTACTACATGAAGCGGTGACATCCAGCATTGTTTCTATGGAAACTATGAGCTGCAGCTTCCTTTGGGCCCTACACGTTTTAACACACATAGATGACTAAAATTGTTTTGTGTGAGTTAAGTTCAGACAGAGCAGAACTGAAAAAAAAGGGGGGGGGGGGGGGGGGGGCTGTCCGAATAAAAACATATAGCTAAATGTGTGCATGTTGGACGATAGTTGTGCGTAATTTGTAAATGATTAAATGAACCAAATCACACAAAGTTTATTTGAGAATGCTGTTTAAAAGTTTACATCTGAAATAAAGCACACATTTTACATTTGCACTTTTGGTTTCCTCTGTGTCGATACTACAAGCAATGTGTTCGAGAATGCACATTTGTTTAGTGTTTTATTGTCTTCCGCAAGTATGTTTGCATAGTTAAGTGTTAATATAACGGCAATAAAACTGAACTTCTTCTAGTTGGCACTAACTCCACGCTCTCAACATCTGACAGCTTTTCTTTAACTATTGACAGTGCCACAGTCTCCCCCTCACCTCATGTCAAGAGTCTGGGTGTCATTCTCGACAGCTCCCTTTCTTTTCAGGCTCACATTAATAACTTAATTCGGTCAGCATACTTCCATCTACGTTCCATAAACCGTCTTCGTCCCTCACTGACCCCTCACACTGCCGCCATTCTCGTCCACAGCCTCGTCACCTCCCGTCTCGACTATTGCAATTCACTTCTTTATGGTCTCCCCAACAAACTCCTTCATAAACTGCAACTGGTCCAGAATTCAGCAGCCCGTATTATCACCAGAACCCCTTCCTTTCACCACATCACGCCGGTTCTCCAGCAGCTCCACTGGCTCCCAGTTAAATTCAGGCCCATCTTCAAAATTCTCCTCCATACCTTCAAAGCAATCCACAACCTCTCTCCTCCATATATCTCAGACCTTATAAGTATTCACACCCCGTCCCGTTCACTCAGATCTTCTTCTTCCATCCATCTTGCGGTTCCTTCTGCCCGTCTCGCTACCATGGGGAGCAGAGCTTTCAGCCGCTCTGCTCCTCGACTCTGGAACTCACTTCCCCCAGACATCAGGAACATCGACAGTTTTACCCTTTTCCAATCAAAACTCAAAACACATATGTTTAAATCTGCCTACAACCTCTGATTTTATTGAAATGTTTCTCTCTGTTTTTTCTTCTTTGGGTTTTATTATTGTTTTATTGTATTTTATTACGTGTTTTGTGTAAAGTGACCTTGGGTGTCCTGAAAGGCGCTTTGAAATAAAATGTATTATTATTATTATTAATATATAAAATAGGGGTTGTAATTTGTGACCTCAATTTAGGCTGACCACTAGATGGTGTTGTTTAGCTGACGTACTTTTCTTGTATTTTGAGAGAATACAAAAAAAAGTTCATTACTTAAAAATAAGGAAATCTTCAGAATGTAAATGTTTCCAGTGTTAAAAAGTTATAAATGATACAATGTTTATGTTTTTTATTAATAAGAAATGGCTAAAGTGACAATGTGTAGTTTTTAACATTAATATCTAGAAATATCTATTCAAATGTTGTAAACAACTTAAAAGATGCCCAGCTGTTGAAAAATATTAGCGGTTTCATAACATAGAACCATAGAAATCGGGTCTAAAATACATGGAGTGGGTCTAAGTCTCTGGAAGATGCCATTATGGATGCCACGTTTCCTTCTACAGAAGCCTGTGAGGACAGAATGCATTTACTGATTTGTAATAAATGGTTACAAAACTTTCAGCATTAACAAACATAGTTCTTTAACACATTTACCTCTTCACTCATTGCAAGTGATGAAAGGGAATCTGATGTTCTTGTTATTTTGCTGGCAGTTTCACTCCCAAGGATTTTTGACCGTAATGGCCACCTGTTGGTAAGGTCTTACTTGAACACGAAAATAATGCTTGCTTGCAATGATTTAGGTATGTACTGTCCCCTATCGCCAAGAAAATACACACTGTCACTTTAAGATGCTGGATGCTTGTAGTGACTGTGCAGACTTTGTCTTGATTTACAGCTTTAAATCTACAATGGAAAATTTTGAGGACAAATGAGCTTAACCCCCCCCCCCCCCCCCCCCCCCCCCCCCCAGGTTTACAGGCAGGTTTCCGGTTCTGGCACAAATGTCTCAGGGAAGATACCCAAGTGTGTGCGGCGCTGCACCGTCAGTGTTCATTTTTGCCATTTGGATCATCAAATGGATGGGTGGGAACTTTCTACAGATGAATGAAGATAAGACTGAGATCCTCATCTGTGCCCCAGATAAGATGGTTCCCAAAGTCAGAGACTCTCTTGGTCTGCTTGCTTCTCACACCAAACCTTCCGTCAGGAATCTTGGTGTGACCTTTGACCCAGCTCTCACCCTGGATTCTCATGTCAGTTCTCTTGTTCGCTCTTCCTTCTTCTATCTCAGGAACATTGCTAAGCTGAGTCCCATTCTGTCCCGCTCTGAACTTGAGACAGTTCTCCACACCTTCATCTCCTCACACTTAGACTACTGTAACTCTCTTTTCACGTGTCTGAGCAGAACCTCCCTGGACCGTCTACAGGTGGTTCAGAATGCCTGTGCTCGGCTTCTGACCAAGTCCTCCAAACACACCCACATCACCCCGCTTCTCTTCCAGCTTCACTGGCTGCCAGTCAACTTCAGGGTTCATTTCAAGATCCTGGTTCTGGTCTATAGGGCCTTACATGGACAAGCACCATCTTACATTGGTGATCTTCTTAGTCCCTACACCCCCAGCAGGTCTCCGAGGTCCAGTGATCAAAGCCTACTGGTTGTGCAGCACCAGGCTAAAGACCAAAGGTGACAGATCATTTGCTGCTGTGGCCCCCAGACTCTGGAACTCTCTCCCCCTGAGCCTGAGAACAGTGGACTCAGTGGTCTCCTTTAAAAAGCAGCTGAAGACTCACCTGTTCAGGCTGCTTTTGTGTGACCATCATCACCACCCTCTCCTTATTCTGTTCTTATTCCGCCTTTCCTGGGATCCATTGATTTCCCTATTTCCTATTCATTTTCTCTCTCCCTTCCCTTACATTTTTTATTTTCTCCTCTTAAACATATTTTAAATCATTTTAAAAATCTTTTTCTATTTTTTTGTATTTGTGAAGTGCCTCGTGATTTTTACCTTGAGAGGCGCTATATAAAAGATCTTCTTCTTCATCATTGTATTTTACAGGGGAGCCAAAATGCTCCCATCTATGCGACCTAAACGACGCAGGTGGTTTTTCAAGCTCCTCTCCTCTGTCATGACCACCGCTGTGCGTTTCTCCTTTGGACTGAGCAGGTAGCACCTCTGTCCTCTACATGACCGATCCGTGAAATGTGTGCATGCCGAACTGTAGAGAGCGATCCAAATAGATCACTGATCAGTGATGATCTGTTGCGCCCCCTAGTGTTTGAGTTCAAAACCTAGCTTGTTTACATATTTGTCATAACAGCTTTAATCTGATTACTGATAATTAGAAAAACAAGTAAAATGTGTAGAAATAAGAAAAAGTGTGATATTGTAAAAGTTAACCAAATAAACTAGAAAGTTTTATTCTTTAAAATGAGTTTCCTGTTGGCTGAAAGTCTTCGTTAGATACACATCTGTAGCTGATTAAACGTTGGAACCTGCACAAGGTTTCCACTACAGCTAATGAATAATGTTGTGGATTTGTGGATAGGCGTTGCCTTGGGTCACATGGTGTCGGTAATAATAATAGTGATTGCTATCACCTGTGCAGGTGATGGAATGGGAGAATGAGTGGGTGATGGGGGAAGTCAACTTTTTGCTGACCGCTCAAGCTTAGAATGTTTTTTATTTATCACTGTTTTCAACGGATTTTAAGGCTTTAATAACAAATAAAGGAATTTTTAACCTGGAACTTTGACTTGGAGCGGAACAGCGGGCGCGTCAACATTATTCCCCTATTCAGCTGCTCGGCGACTCAAAGGCTTGACAGTCGCCAATATTTGTCAGCAAAAAAAAGACTGCGTGGGACGGCAATGGAGCTGCCCGCAATCTGCGCTGAATAAACGCCGACGCAAGCCCACACACCGCCGCCACTTCACCCATTAAAGCGGCTCGTCTGACAGATAAGGAGGAGACGACGGTGGTATGTAAACCGTGTTTTGTGCTGCGTATTGCTTGTTGGAACGCAGTGTGGATTCTGATCATTTGAGGATGTTTTTGTGACACGCCCACCGCTGCGTTTGCTCTTGGACATGGTGTATGTGTGTGCTGTGGCTCTGCAGGCGTTCAACTGAGTTTGAAGGATTTCCTGTTGCCTTTGTTTTGGATTTGGAATGCTGCTGATGTTGAATGCTTAAAATGAGTGGATCACAGGCATCTGTTGCTGGAAAAATTGAAAAGGATAAAAGATTAATTTCTCTCACTGAGAAAGCCCTTGCAAACAAAGTTGAAACCATCCAAACAGATCGGAAAAGGCATGTAAATAAAATGAAAAGTCTCATTACATCTCTTAAAGAGCTAATGAAAGATGATACAAATCATTCACAAGTCAAAAAACAGTTTGATGAGTTAACACACCTATTTGAGCATGCCAGTGCTTTGCATGAATCTTTACTTTCTCTAATCTCATTTGATGAGAAAAATAAACAAAATACATGGTTCTCAAGCATCGCTAAATACAATAAAGGGTTTATGGAGGATGTTAAGATATGGCTTTCTGAAACTGATAAACGTTCGGGGAGGCCATCATTTGACAAAGCACAATCACAGGAAACTTCCCTGGGAGGAGAAATGGAGATGTTAGAGCACCCTGGAAAAGAACCTCAGTCATCTCTTAATCCCCAGAATGATGTTAATGATGATGTGTTACCATCCGACAGTGTGTCAAATCAAGGCAGTAGGTCAAGCTCAAGAGTATCATCTACTTCATCTGCACGTCTCAGGGCGGAAGCTGAAATGGCTGCCTTGCTCGCACGTCAACATATGCTGAAGGAAAAACACTCTCTGGAAGAGCAAGAGGAACAATTGAGGAGAAAGAAAGAACAACTTCAGCTGCAACTGTTGCAAAGGTTAACGTGCTGAGAACTGGATCCACTATGCGGAGCGTCGCTTCACGGAAATCTAATGGAATGGAATCATATTTGAAAACAAAGAGAAACAGCCATGGAATTCTTGATGCGGATGCAGAGACTTTTGTTCCACAGATGCTTACAAAGGGAAACACAATCACTGGTAATGCAGAGCTTCAAGTAAAAACAGTGCAACAGACTATGAAAAGGGAAAAGCCTGCACCTGCTCTTATGGGGCCTTCTGATGCTTTTCGATCAATTCCACCTTTTCCTAAGCCACAAGCTGCTCATCCAGTAGCCAGTGAAAATCTGTTGTCCATTATGGAAAAACAAAATGAATTGACTTGTATGTTGGTCCATCAGCAGAGTCTTTCTTCACTGCCCAAAAGGGAGATTCAAACCTTTGATGGTGACCCTTTACATTTTCAGGCCTTCATGCGCTCGTTTGAACAGGTCATAAAAGCAAAGACTGGTGATGCTGGCGACTGCCTGCATTATCTTGCACAGTACACCAAAGGGCAGCCCAATGAACTTGTTAAAAGCTGTCAAAATATGTCTGCGAGTGCTGGATATGTAAAGGCAAAGACTCTGCTGTATGAGCACTTCGGGAATGGACATGTGATTGCATCCGCTTATTTGAACAAAGTTCACTCATGGCCACTGATTAGATCAGAAGATGGAAAAGCTCTTCAGGCATATTGTTTGTTCTTACGTGGATGCTGCAATGCAATGGAAGAGATTAGCGATCTCTCTGAATTAAATACACCCGCCAATATGCTTGCTGTGATTAGAAGACTGCCATATAAGTTAAAAGACAAATGGCGAACAGTAGCATGTGACATTCAGGAGAGGCAACATCGCAGAGCCGCATTCACTGACATTGTTTCCTTCCGAGCGTCAAGTAAAAATTGCAATAGATCCTGTCTTTGGAAATTTATGTGACGTTCCAGCGACACATCTTTCAGCCAAGGGCAGCAATGGAGGGAAACGTTCTCCACACCTAAGAGCTAAAGGAAGTAGCTTCGCTACAACAGTCTCTGATGTCGAGAGACAGAATCAGACATGGATTAAAGATCGGCACAGCATTGTGAAGGTTTGTTTTTTCTGCAAAGGCGGACACACACTGGAGTCATGTGCTCTGCTTGATAAGAAACCTCATAATGAGAAGATTTCTTTTCTTAAAAAGAACAGCATCTGTTTTGGCTGTTTGTGTACTGGGCACATAAGCAAAGAATGCAGAAAACGCCTTTCATGTAAAATCTGTGGTCTTAGACATGCAAGTATACTCCATATAAACCATAAAGAGAAGAGTGAAGTTAAACCTGGTAATGAGGCAGATAACATTCCAGTTACGATCCAGACTAGTGGCCTTACTGGGGCCGGTGAACAAGACTGTAAGCTTGCCATTGTGCCAGTTAAAGTAAAATCCAAGAGAGGTCAAAGAATAGTGGAAACGTATGCCTTTCTGGACCAAGGGAGTTCAGCGTCCTTTTGCACAGTGGGTCTTATGGGTAAGCTGAATATTGACGGGAGGAGGACAAAGATTCTCCTGCGCACCATGGGACAGGAGAAAGTGGTGGACAGTTTCATTGTACCTGAACTTGAAGTTGCTGGATTGGACAGTGACATGTACTGTGATATGCCTAACCTCTTCACTCAGCATAAAATGCCTGTAGATCTTGGTAACATCCCAAATCAACAGGACCTGGATGACTGGCCACATTTGAAGCATGTTCATTTGCCAGAAATTAAGGCCAATGTGGAGCTTTTGATTGGCATGAATATGCCCAGAGCTCTAGAACCTTTGGAGGTCATCCGGAGTGTAGGTGAAGGACCTTTTGCCATTAGGACTGTGCTGGGCTGGACAGTTAATGGGCTACTTAATCAAGAATGCTGTGGAAGGCCAGGATGTCTGGCAACAGTTACTGCCAACAGACTTTCTGCTGTCACACTGGACAAGCTATGGAAACAGCAGTTTAAGATAGACTTTCCTGAGAGCAGCAATGATGAACAGATGGGGTTGTCAAAGGAAGACATGAAGTTCATGAAATTGGCCAGCAAGACGGTGACCTTGAGGGATGGGCACTACAGCATTGCCCTGCCACTGAAAGACCGAGACATAAGAATGCCTGACAACCGTGCAATTGCTGAGCAACGAGCCTTAGGTTTGAAGAAAAGGCTCATCCGAGATAAAGACTTTCACAAAGACTACACTGCTTTCATGACAGATCTCATATCTAGAGGATATGCAAAGAGAGTGCCAGTCGCAGAATTGGAGCGCAGCGATGGGAAGCTTTGGTATATCCCTCACCATGGGGTTTACCATCCTACCAAGGGGAAGATGCGGGTCGTCTTTGATTGTGCAGCATCATTCCAGGGTGTCTCCCTTAATGCGCAGCTCCTGAGTGGTCCTGACTTAACAAACGGCTTGGTTGGCGTACTGACGAGGTTCAGAAAAGAGCCAATTGTTTTGATGTCTGACATCGAGGCTATGTTTCACCAGGTGCATGTGCCAGAAGAAGATGCTGACCTTTTGAGGTTTCTTTGGTGGCCTGGTGGTGACCTCAATCAGAGCATGCAAGAGTACAGAATGGGTGTTCATTTGTTTGGGGCAACGTCTTCTCCAAGCTGTGCTAACTACGCCCTGCGGAAATGTGCAGAGGACAACAAAGCATACTTCAGCCAGCAGGTGACTGACACCATTCTGTATAGTTTTTATGTGGATGACTGCCTTGCTTCAATATGCTCTGAAGAAGAAGCCATCAATCTTTACTCAGGCCTTAGAGACATTTGCGCCAAGGGTGGTTTCCACTTAACAAAGTGGATCAGCAATAGCCGCAGTGTTCTGGCAGTCATACCTGAGGAGGAAAGAGCAAATGAAGTTAAGGACCTAGACCTCGATCGTGACCTTTTACCTGTTGAGCGAGCATTGGGAGTGAAGTGGTGCCTGCAGTCAGATGCATTTAAGTTCTGCATATCCATCCCAAACAGACCATTGACTCGGAGAGGGATCCTATCCACAGTAAGCTCCTTCTATGACCCTCTGGGGTTCCTTGCTCCTGTTATCTTCACAGCCAAGAGGATCCTTCAAGATCTGTGCCAGAGGGGGATAGGATGGGACGATGCTATACCATCAGCAGTTGCTGAAGAGTGGAAAAGCTGGTTAGAAGAATTGCATCTGTTGAACAATATCTGCATCGGACGATGTTTAAAACCTCCTGATTTTGGAGAGACAACCACTGCTCAGTTGCACCACTTTGCAGATGCGAGTGAGAAGGGCTATGGGGCTGTTACCTACTTGTTGCTGCACAACAGTTGCTCACAGACGCACAGTTCCTTCATAATGGGAAAATCCAGGGTGGCACCTTTAAAACCAGTCACCATCCCTCGCATGGAATTGACGGCAGCAGTGGTAGCAGTTCGCATGGATAGAACGTGGAAGAGGGAGTTGAGACTACCTCTTCTAAACTCTGTCTTTTGGACGGACAGCACTGCAGTGTTGAAATATATAAATAATGAGTCTTCCAGGTTCCGTGTTTTTGTGGCAAACAGAGTGTCAGAAATCCTCAAGGCTTCTAGTGCCTCCCAATGGAGGTATGTGAACACCACGCATAACCCTGCGGACCTTGCCTCCAGAGGTGTGAAGGCTGAGACCTTTTTGCGTGACACTGAATGGATATGTGGCCCTGCATTTCTTACACAGCCAGAGAACAATTGGCCTGTTAACCCAGAAAATTTGCAAGAACTTCCACGTGAAGATCCTGAAGTTAAGGTGTCTGCTGCCATCAACGTCTCACAAGTGCACGGTGATGATCATCCTCTGACCCCTTTAATCCATCGTGCCTCATCCTGGACTCGTCTCATCAGGGTGATGGGTTGGATTTTAAGGTTCAAGATGTTGTTATTGCATCGCAGGAAGATACATTTTCAGTCTGCATCTGATCCAATTCAGTCTGAAGATGCTCAACATAAGGTTGATTTCCGGCATGGCTTTCTTTCATTGGGAGAGATTGAGGTTGCTGAGATGCAAATAATTAAGTTCTGTCAGAGGAAGAGTTACGCTGAAGAAATTTCTTGTCTCCAAAGGGGAGAATCTGTGAAACGAAGCAGTCACATATATAAGTTGAATCCTGTTTTGGAGGATGGTGTGCTGCGGGTTGGCGGACGTCTCAGTAAGGCTGTCATGTCAGAAGACTCCAAGCATCCTGTCATAATCGCTAAAGAGCTTCACATTTCCAATCTCATTCTACAGCATGTTCATAAGGAGGTGGGTCATGGTGGAAGGAACCACATGCTCTCAAAGCTGCATCAGAAATATTGGATTCCTGGTGCTGGTACTCTGATTCGAAGCATCATGTCGAGGTGTGTGACCTGCAGAAGGTTTCATGGAGCTGCAGGACAGCAGCGGATGGCTGAGTTGCCCGGAAGCAGAGTGACCCCTGAGAAACCCCCATTTAACTTTGTTGGAGTGGACTATTTTGGTCCATTTGAAGTGAAGCGTGGGAGAAGTCTTGTGAAGCGGTATGGTGTTATTTTTACTTGTTTGGCGATTAGAGCAGTACACATTGAGGTTGCCTCATCTCTTGACACTGACTCTTTCATTAACGCCTTACGACGTTTCATTGCAAGACGAGGTCAGGTACAAGAATTGCGCTCGGACAATGGGACTAACTTTGTGGGCGCAGAGCGCGAGCTGAGACGAGCTATGGAAGAGTGGAATCAGCAAAAGATCTCTGATGCTCTGTCCTTGAAGGGAGTGAAATGGATCTTCAATCCCCCAACTGGATCGCATCACGGCGGAGCATGGGAGCGGCTGATTCGTTCTGTCAGAAAGGTCCTTAATTCCACTCTCCAAACGCAGCATTTGGACGAGGAAGGGCTCCAAACTGCTCTTTGTGAAGTGGAGTCAATCCTCAACAGTAGACCCATTACACTGGAATCCACTGATCCAAATGATTTGGAAGCCTTAACACCAAATCATCTCCTTCTTCTCAAGTCCAACCCGTCTTTACCACCTGGTCTGTTCCGGAGGGACGATCTCTACGTACGCAAACGATGGAGGCAAGTTCAATATATATCTGACCTGTTTTGGAAAAGATGGACTAAGGAATACTTGCCACAACTTCAGCGGCGCCAGAAATGGGGAAGGATTAAACGTAACTTTATTCCTGGAGATGTGGTCCTCATAGTGGATGATTCTGCACCTCGTGGTTCCTGGATCATTGGGAGGGTCACCGGTGCTGTACCAGATGAAAAGGGGCTTGTGCGTCAGGTCTGGATTAAGACCCCAACCAGCCATGTGCGCAGACCCGTTACAAAGATATGCCTTCTTCAGGAGACCTCTGACCCATGACGGTGACTTTTGACACGATGTGACATGGCTAACTTTGAACTGATTTCGTTATGAGATGTACGTCGCAGACTGACTATATTTAGGCTAAGTGCTGGTAACCTCTGGCCTATGACTGACTGACCGTGTGCAGACAGAAGAAAGGAAGAGAGGAAATGAGAAAACAACTTTGCTGGACTTTTGAGTATGATATGTGGTCTCACTGGGTGTCTGTGTTGTGATGTAGCATATGAGTTATGGTGTCAGATGTGTAATTACTGTGAGAATGTAATAATTAGGGGCCGGAATGTTGTGGATAGGCGTTGCCTTGGGTCACATGGTGTCGGTAATAATAATAGTGATTGCTATCACTTGTGCAGGTGATGGAATGGGAGAATGAGTGGGTGATGGGGGAAGTCAACTTTTTGCTGACCGCTCAAGCTTAGAATGTTTTTTATTTATCACTGTTTTCAACGGATTTTAAGGCTTTAATAACAAATAAAGGAATTTTTAACCTGGAACTTTGACTTGGAGTGGAACAGCGGGCGCGTCAACATTATTCCCCTATTCAGCTGCTCGGCGACTCAAAGGCTTGACAGTCGCCAATAAATAATTACAAGCATAAAAAATCACTTTTACTGAACTAAATTATTAATGATTGCATTAAATGTCACATGGTTGTCGCTCATTTATTTTCAGCACACATTCAGAGTGTTCATTAAATTAAAGATGTGGTTCACTCGTTCATTCAATACATTTGCAGTGGTTTCTAAAAGGAATAACAAGACAATACAGCTTTATTTATATAGCACATTTCCTAAACAAAGGAAACTCAAAGTGCTTGAATGCCTTGCAAGTCGTTCTTAGGGGAAAAAAGCTCAGATGCTTTAGTTTCAGGAACCAGCAGAACGCCACATCAGGGCAGAGCTTAAGATAGCAGGATTTGGAGTCTTATCTCTTCATATTTGGACATCTAGCCTCTGATCCTGACTGATCTGTAATGTTGATGTTTTATCTCCACAAATATCACAGGCCAGGAGGAATTCTGCTGTGTGGTGGAGTTGGTAATGCAAACCGTTAGATTCTACCAGCTGAGATGTTCTCTGCTGTTGCAAAACCAAGTGACAGTGTGACGTAGATTTGCCAAGATTTTCAAATCCTAGCGGTTTACAGTAAAGCCGGGCGTACCCTGTGCGACTTTTTCACTTTTTTGAGCCGATTTTCCAGTCGTGCGAGAATCCACGAGATCGGGGCGAGTTTTGCGCCGAGCGGTCGTGTAGTGTACAGGGGGTTACGAGAGGCAATTAACACCACGTGACCAGCTGCCGATCAGCAGTCGTGAGGTCGCACGGACTTCTGGCGTGTTTAAAATTTCGCTCGTCCCTCGTGAGGGTATCGCACTGTTGAAGCGGCGCTGCGAGCAGCTGCGACCCAAAAAGTACCAGAACCGCTCACGGCGCATGCGCAATCCTGCATCAACACCGCTCGCTATTTCCCTAATAACACACGCTGTTCGTTTTTATTTCTACACGTTTTTTTACTCACAAAGATTGTCAAGAAAGCGTGTTTGTCGTGTTCATGTCAAATTAAACTGATCACAAAACACAGATTTACTTTCTTTATTTCGTTTTACTCATCCAACCCCCATAAATCCCTGTGTCCTCCTGCAGCACTCCCGAAGGACAACAGGCAAGACAAGACAAAAAAGTCTGACGTGTTGAGTAAAAACTGCTATTTTTAGCATATTTTTCGGGCCAACGTGTTGCTACCAGACGTACAGTGTGAGCAGTCAGGTCGCATCCGAGAACTGGGTCATACAGTGTGAGCGCATGACTCGTGAGATCTGCTCTACGAGGAAGTCGTACAGTTTGAGCTGAAGCTGAGTGCTACGAGTGAAAAAGTCGCACAGTGTACGCCCGGCTTAAGTAATGAGTAAATTTTATTTATACAGGACTCGACTCAGCGCAGACACAGAATAACAAAGTGCTTCACATTGATCAAAACAAAAATAAAACAAAGTCATAAAATCATAAATAGATTAACATCATAAAATCAAAATCCTCTCAAAACAGAATTAGATTAACGTAAAAAAAATAAACTCATAAAATTATAAAATTTCATAAACAGATGAAAGATTAAAAATTTGAGTTAAAAATGAAAAAAACTAAAGATTTAGGTAAAAGCAGCTTTAAATAAATTTGTCTTCAGCTGTTTTTTAAAAGTGTCCAGACTGCCAATGCTGCGTAAGGATAAAGGAAGATCATTCCAGAGTCGGGGTGCAACAGTCCGGAAGGAGCGATCACCTCGATTTTTGAATCTGGTCTTTGGAACTTCTAGAAGGTTCTGGTGTGTGGACCTGAGGGCTCGGGGTGGAGCATAAGGCTTTAACAGCTCAGTAATATAGGGAGGAGTTTGACCATGTAGAGCATTGAAAGTTATAACCAGGATTATAAAATGAACTCTAAAGTTAACGGGTAACCAGTGCAGAGACATCAGAATAGGAGTGATGTGTGCTCTTCTGTTTGCTCCAGTTAGAAGCCTCGCTGCAGAGTTCTGGACCAACTGAAGGCGGTCAAGGGCTTTTTTGTTAAAACATGTGAAAAATGTGTTAAAGTAATCTAGACATGGAGGAGATAAAGGCATGGATAACCATTTCAAGTTCATGTTTTGACACCAACCTTTGCAGTTTGTAGATATTTGTTAAATGATGAAAACAGTTTCAGACCAATGTTTTTGAGTGACCTTCAAGAGACGTTGATTGGTCAAAAATAACACCCAAATTACTTAAGTTTGTCTTGACGGCAGAGGACAAATGACCAAGTTTTAGACTAATCAGGGGAACCATGCTCTCAGGGGCAATGATCAGACTTTCAGTCTTTTCAGAGATAGACACTCTAGTAAGTAGGAAGTAGATGGGGGTGAAAAACTTTACCTGATATTTCAGATTTTATTCTCAAAGAATGCTAGAAAGTTGTTACAGTCAGACCTTGAGTAACTGGCATGAGCGGGGCGTGAGGAGAAACAACCTGGTTTATGGTGTCAAACAGGACTTTAGAGTTATTTGTTGTTTACAGCAATCAGCTGAGCAAAGTAAGTGGCCCTAGAAATGTTCACCGTCTCATTCAGAGATGTCATCAGTTTTTTAAAGTGCAGCCTGTGACTTTCTAATCTAGTTGACTTCCAACGTCTCTCGGCTCTGCGGCATTTCCTTCTGAGACTGTAAATGTTTTGATTAATCCAGAGACTTTTTCTCTTGCTAGAAAAAGTAACCTGCTTAACAGCAGCTACTTTATCTAAGATGCTGCAGCATTGTTTATCAAAGGACTGGATGAACAAGCTTGGATCATCACCCTGAACTGAGCTGCTGTCAAATAATCTAGAAAATCCATCCACTGCTGACTGATTAATGATACGTCTCTTTGATTTTAGGTTGTGAGGGACGGATTCAACATTAGATGGAACATTAAAGAAAATTCAGCTGTGGTCACTCACATGAACCTCTTCAACATGTAAATGATTGATTTTTAGTCCCAAAGAGAAAACAAGATCGAGAGTGTGTCCCATTTTGTGTGTGGGGCCTGAAACGTGCTGCTCTAAGTTAAAAGACTCCATAATAGACATGAACTCCACTGCTGTGCTACAATTAGGATCATTAATGTGTAAGTTAAAATCACCGAGGATTAAAACTTTTTCTAGTTTGATCATTGATGATAGAAATTCTCCAAATTCAGAGAGAAAAGGGCCAGCTGGACCGGGAGGTCGGTAGATTAAAATACAGTGAAATACATTTAGTAACCCTGCTTTGATGACGTGACATTCAAAAGTTGTAAAAGGGCAATTTTTCACCAAATTACAGACATGTTTGTCCTTAAAGAGCAAGGCAAGACCTCCACCACGATGTGTCGGGCGTGGTGTGGTAAACACAGAGCAGTTTGGTGGACGTCTTTCATTGAAATGTACAAAATAGCCATCTTGCTGCCATGTCTCCGTAAGAAATAAATAGTCCAACTTTTCTCTAGTAAACAGCTCATTTAAAATAAAGGATTTGTTTGAGATGGAGCGGGCATTTAACAGGGCACACTGAACTGAATCCTGGAGAACATTTGCCTTCTTAACCTGTTGGAGGGGGATGGGTCGTAAACATCTGGTGTTCTGGGTTCTCCGGCCATGAATACATTTCACGTCTTTGCTGGTTGATAAATGAACTGGAACAGGGAAACTTTTGGGTTTGTCAGCAGAAGACAACATTTTGGGAATTGTGACCTTTGGAAGACTAACAAACTGTCTATTTTCTATCAGAAGCTAATGCAGGAGATATGTGTAGGAGACTTTTTTCATGTTCAGCCTGCATGAGGATGAGATGGGGGGAGGGGGTAGTAAAGATGCATCAGATGCATTGATAATCTCAACACTTCCTTCTTAAACATCAAGTTGTTTTGAGCCTAAAGATCCCCAAAAGGTAAATGAGTGTATTTTCTGTTTTGTTATTTATTCTTTAGATGTGTGTGTGTGTTGTGGAACATGCTGCAACTTTGTTTTCAGCTGAGAGGATGTAAGAGCGTGTGGTGAGTTTCCATGCGTTTGTGTGTTTTTGCCTATTTAAACAGTCTCCTTTGTGTTAACTTTCAATAGAACAGGTCTGCATTCTATTATTGTAGTGAGCTCCAGGAAGTGTCTGTATGTTGCAGTTCTTTGAACTTTGTGTGTGTGTGTGTGTGTGTGTGTGTGTGTGTGTGTGTGTGTGTGTGTGTGTGTGTGTGCGTGTGTGTGTGTGTGTGTGTGGTTATGCAATAGTGTTTTTAGAGACCAAAGTGGCCTTTCTTAGGCACATAGAAGTGGGTTTCTGCATTAAATCCCTGAAATCAGAAGAAGAGCAGCAGCAGAATCAGTTGTGAGAGAAAATAAAATTAGTTCACGTTCTAAGTCAGATTTTTTATTTCCGGAACCGACTGAACCATTTTATTTTTATCTCACCCAGAAAAATCAAACATCAGGCTGCTTTAGTAAAGGTCATCTTGACTTCT